TGCCTCACTGTTCTCTTTGGAGTCAAGGGTAATGTTTGTTTTTATGTTTAAATCTGCACTTGCAATTGATGTTGGTGTGAGACAAGAATCCCGGTTGATCTCTTTGCTTTCTTACCTCTTGCTTTTCTTGATCCGTTTATTGCAAAGTTATCTCACCCTTTTTTCTTTTTAAACTAATTGATTTTAAAGAGGTAAGCAGGCCGGTCTTAGTGGCTCAGCCTGTAATCCCAGCACTTTGGGAGGCTGAGGAGAGTGGATTGCCTGAGCCTGTGGTTTTAAGACCCACCCGGGCAACTTGGCGAGACCTCGTCTCTACAATAAATCAAAAATTAGCCGGGCGTGGTAGTGCTTGCCTGTAGTTCCAGCTACTTGGAAGGCTGAGATGGAAGGATAGCCAGAGCCCAGCAGGTCAAGGCTGCGGTGAACATGAGGATGCCTCTGCACTCCAGCCTGGGTGACAGAGTGAGACTCCAACTCAAAAAAAAAAACAGTGGTGGGGGGGCAGTCAGCTTATACGAACCTTAGTCACTTCTTATTTCTGTTTACTCGATGGGGCCGCACCTTCCCAGGGTCGTTGTAGGGGCAAGTCCCCTGGCTGCCTGTGCCACAGGCATGTTCAGGGAGGGGCTGGCTGACCCACACACCCTTTCTTGCCATGGCTCTTTCAGATGTTGAAAGCCCCCTTGCCTTTTCTCCCTCTCTCCTCAGACCCATTAAGTTTCAGAGTCAAGGTTCATTTGTAGAATATTGATATCTCTAAGCTTTTTTGGTTCAATTTCTTGTTAAATTCATCCCAGGGTATTTTGTTGTTGCTGCAGTCAAGAAGAGACTCTTTTTTCACTTGTGTCTTTCTAAATCAAAGTTGTGTTAAAGAAGGTGACATGTGGAGAGATGGCTGATGTGAGAGAATGACTGTACACTTAGTGGGAGAGGCGCCCGAGATAGTGACTGGCCAGGCAGCCACCAGAGAGGAAACTGGGAGGGTGCAGGGACAGGTGGCATGGGGTTGGGGAGTATGACAATACATGTTCCTCAGGAGATGAGAGGTCACCTGGACACCGTGGGACTGGTGTGGTTAGGGTGACACTGACAGCTGCGTTGACTAGCTGGCAGGAGGGCCAAGTTGGGGGACCCGGTAGGAGGCTGTTGAGGAAAACCCTATGAGGAAAGATGGAGACTGGGAGGCTGGGTACAGTGTGTCGGCCTTGAGGTGGTAGAAACAGCTAGATTCCAGGACACTGAAAAGGTCGAGCCAAAGGACGAGTGTAGGGGTTTAGGATGGGGTGCCAGTGGCAGGGCGAGAGTGGGTTCTGAACATGCCGACTCTGTCCTCCCACTGGGAAACTGTGAGTACTTACAAGTTTCTTGATTTTTCTAATAATGACTAATTTTGCCATTCGGAAATATATCCCACCATACTCATGACAGGTTGTTTATATTTAATTTTTTGTTTAGAGACAGAGTCTTACTTTGTCACTCAGGCTGATGGGCAAGGACTTGCTTTTAGCTCATTGTAGCCTCGATTTCCTGGGCTCAAGTGATCCTCCTATCTCAACCTCTTGAGTAGCTGGGACTACAGGTGCATACTACCTGTTGTATTTTTTGTTTGCTTTGTTGTCATTATTGTTTTTTGAGTCAGGGTCTCGCTCTGTTACCCAGGTTGAAGTGCAGTGGCAAAATCATGGCTCGCCATAGCCTCAGCCTCCCAGATAGCTGGAACTACAGGCATGTACCACTAGGCCCAGCTGATTTTTTGATTTTCTGTAGAGATGAGGTCTCGCCGTGTTGCCCAGGTTAGTCTCGGACTCTTGGGCTCAAGCAGTCTTCCCACCTTGGCTTCCCAAAGTGCTGAGATTATAGATGTGAGCCACTGCATTGGCCTATGTTGTGTTTCTGTTTGATTTTTTACATACACAGTGTTGTGAAGTTTTTCTGTGTTAAACAGATTTATGCAATTTGGTGTGTTGTTTCACTGAAAAAAAGTGTGTGTCTTTATGCTTAAATTTATCTGCAGAATAGATTCTGGGTGTGAATTTGTGCAGTATGGGTGTGAATTAGGTAATTTTAAAGTTCACGTTTTCTCTCAAAAGAGTCCCAAAGTTTATTCTTTAATAATAGTGTTAAATATATTTTTATATGCTCTTAGTTTCTATTAATATTTTACAGTTTAAATTCAAAAGTGAGATTGCTGTTTTAATTATTACATATGTGCACATACCTTATGTCAAGTTTTAAATCAGGATTCTATTTTCTGAAAGGACCTTAGAAGTCATTCTAATTTCTTTAGTTGAACAGAAATCTGGCTGGACACAGTGGCTCACGGCTGTAATCCCAGCACTTTGGGAGTCCAGGGCAGGGGGATCATTTGAGTCCAGGAGTTCATGACCAGCCTGGGCAACATAGTGAGACCTTGTCTTTACAAAACGTCATATGTATGTATATGAAGAAGAGATTATCTCCTTTTGAATGTTTTCAGAAACTTGACTGATGAAACAGACTTGCCTGAGCCCCCTGTCCCTTTTGTCACACATATGTATTCGCTGATCAGTTGTTAACACAGATAAATAACACAGCAGCGTTGTAGACATGAATAAGTGGACACTGAGAGCCTTTGTCTTCCGCCCCCACCAGGGCAGCCACCTCAGTGGCTCTGTGCTCTCTTGTCTCTCTGTGTGTGGTGGGTGCTTTATTTGGATAACATCACTCTGTAGAGACGTTCTGTTTTTACCCTGGGTGTTTGGCTGTTTTTTCAGTTATCTTATAGAGACTCAGAGATGTCTGCCACAGGATGCTCCAGTTTTAGATAGCCAGGTTTTCATTTAGCTGTTTTAAAAAAAAAAATTATTATATATTTGCAATTTTTATCCTTTTTTCTTTTGTTAGGCCAGTCTTCCAGCTTATCTAGGTAATTGGTCTGTTTCTTTCTGCTCTTGAGGGTGGTTATGGGAACAAAGATGAGCTCCCAAAGACATCTCAGTTTTGGCTTGTATCTCCTCTTTGGATAATGTCTGCTCTTATCCTAATCTTTTTTCTTAGTTTTATCTTGATATTTTTTCCCCACATTATTTTTACTCTTCACCCAGATCCGTTGGCTATTGACTTAGGGATATGCTTCAGCCGTAAGATGGGATGAAACACCCTATGCGGAGAGCTAGTTGATGTCCGGGTCAGTTTATGAGATTAAAAGGGGACTTCACCTTTTAAAGCTTCTTACTGTTTTCTTTCTTTTTTGAGTCAGAGACTCACTCTGTTGTCCAGACTGGAATACAGTAGCCCAGTCATGGCCACCACAGCCTCAACCTGCTGGGCTTAGGTGATCCTTCTGCCTCAGCCTTCCAGGTAGCCAGAACCCATGTTACCACGCCCCGCTAATTTTTATTTATTTATTGTAGAGGTGAGGTCTTGCCAAGTTGTCCAGGCTGGTCTCAGATCCCTGGGCTCAGGCAGTCCTCTTGGCCTCCACCTCCCAAAGTGCTGGCATTATAGGTGTGAACCCCTGTGCCCAGCCTTATTTTGATTTTTTTTGTATCTTTTCCTAGTGTCTTTTTAATATTGAAAGCTTGGGTGCAATTTTTAGATCCTCACCAGTTTTCTGAATCCTCTCATTCATCTGCTGTGTGGTCTGGTTTTCATCCCTGCCAACTAATTTTTCTCCTTCTGCCTCAAAAGATCATCTTCAGAAAACCAGCACTGATTAAATATGGTACAGGGAATTGTTTTCTCAAAGCAGAGCCTGCTAACGCTGCCCGCACAGAGGCGCCCTATTGATCATTGTCGTTTCCTTTCGCTCCTGCTTCAGTGTGGTTTGCCCGGTTGGACCTCCAGAGGGCTGTCCCTGCCCGCCACCCTCCTGGGGGCTGCAGGCAGGATGCCGGCAGGGAATGCTGGGAGCGGCCACTTTGTCCATAGGGGAGTCTTCCCCTATACACGCCCGAGCCGGGCTTCCAGGAGATCCTGTGCCAAAAATGGATGCAGCTGTGGCAGGTGCTCCTGGGACTTTGCCAGAGAAGCTGAGGTCTGCCCTCTGGCCTCTGCTCCGATGCCTCCCGGGCTCCAGGGTCTCCTCACTTCCTGCCATTCAGGGGCAGGTGCTTTCTTCAGGACTGTGTGCCCAGACGACCTGACGAGTTATGCTCTTGCAAATGTGAGACTTGCCATTGTAACGCTGACTTGTAGGGATCCTGCACTCAGCGTACCCTGATGGTTTCGCCTCAAAGCATGAAATTGTAAACATCCTGTTTCTTATTACAGAATTAAAATTAAAGCTTTTGAAGGCTGAAATTAGTTCATAATTCACTCTGGACTTTGCTGGAGAACTTACTGACTATTCTGCCCACATGTACAGAGGAAGTTTAGTGGAATTCATACCTATCCCTTTGGAATTAACCTGACATGAACACTATACAAGTGAACAGTCACTGTCCAGAATTTATTTTTGTGACTGAGGCACAAGCTTTGTAGCATCGAGTGAGCATCGAGTGAGCTTTAGGCCAGGCTGAAGAGCAGCTAATGTATCCAGGGAACCTTGCCACTTGAGGCCACCAGAAAGCCTTGAAGGGGGCGTGAGAAGAGGAGGTGTGGTTGGTGACTGAAGCTCCAGGGCGTGCCTTTGCTGAGGAGCGCTGGCTGTGGCCCTCCAGGAGCCAGCTGCTCACCTCGGCAGACGGGTAGACACCATCCTGTGGCTATGGCATGCCAGTTTCATGCCGTGTTTTCAGAAAACACGGTTTTAGCATCCTTCAGACGGTCATAAGTTTGACATCTATGTAAACATTAGGGTTTCAAGTAATTGGGTTTCAGCACTGAAAAAGAAGCAGGTTTCCTTACTTACTGTGAAGGTCAGCGGGTTAGACAATGAGACATCTGTTAACAGACTCATTGGACGTCCTGTGAGCAGTGTCCTCTAGGTGTCTGGAAAGACATCCTGAGTCTTTGGGACCACGAGTGGGAAGCTGGATTTCATCAGACACTGACCCTGTGATGTGTTTGGCTTTCTGCAGGTCCACCGGAACAGCACACTCCGCTCTGGCTGCGACGTGAACCCCTCATGTGCGCTGTGTGGCTCGGGCGGTGTCAGCACCATGCCCCCCGAGATTCACTATGAAGCCCCCCTCTTGGAGCGGCTTTCCCAGCTGGACGGCTGTGTTCACCCCGTTCTGGCATTTCCTGATGGTAAGCAAAACCACAGGGTATGAAATCTCATGCACAAGGCCTCGTAGGGTTCAGCTGTTCTCGAGCAGTGGCTTCCTGTCAGCAAAGTCTTCCCAGAATTTTGCAGACTGTGGCAGACCCACCGTACCAGAAGGCGCCCCTAGCGAGTGCAGCCCACTCAGAAACCACTCGCTGCGTCCTCAAGGGGTGTGCTGGCTAGCTAGGGCCTGCTGCCTCCAGCCACCAGCAGTCTGGTCCCTTATCCCCTCGTGTATCTTTGGGAATTTTGTTTTTAAGATGAGGTCTCACTGTTTTGCCCTGACTAGGATTCAGTGACATGATCATGGCTCACCACGGCCTCAACCTCCTGGGCTCAGGCGATCCTCCCGCCTCAGTTTCCTGAGTGCCTGAGACTACAGGTGTGTGCCACTCGCCCTGGCTAATTTTTTTTCTTTTCCTTTTTTTTTTTTTTTAAAGTGTAGATGAGGTCTCACCTATGTTGCTTGGCCTCGAACTCCTTGGTTCAAGTGATCCTCTCATCTTGGCCTCCCAAAGTTCTGGGATTACAGGCATGAGCCACTGTGCCCAGCTGCTAATATCTTTAAAAATGCATTTCTGAGCTGGGTACAGTGGCACACACCTGTAATTTCAGCATTTTGAGAGGTGATGGTGAGAGGATTGCTTGGGTTCAGGGGTTTAAGACCAGCCTAGACAACTTGGTGAGATCTTGTCTCTACAATAAATCAAAAAATGAGCTGGACATGGTGGTGCGTGCCTGTGGTTCCAGCTACTTGGAAGGCTGAGGTGGAAGGATCACCTGAGCCCAGCAGGTCGAAGCTGCGATGGCTATGAGTGTGCTACTGCACTTCAGCGTAGGTGACAGAGTGAGACTCCGACTCAAAAAAAAAAAAAAAAAATTCTGTATGTGTCATGACATGAAATGCTGTTAGGCGTCTGTAGGGTTCCATGCCAACTTTCCAGAGTGTTGTGAGCACACGTCCTCACAGCTGGCATGTGCTGTTTCTGACACTTGCCTTCCTGCTGGTCTCTGGCAGTCCCCCACATGCCTGCACTCCCCTACTGGACAGAAGTAGCTCATTCCTCTCGGTGGTGTGAGTCTTGCTGGGGTTTTGCCCCAGAGTATAAACATCTTGGATGGTGGAGCCCATTCCCAGGAGCTCTCAGCTTCTGAAGGCAAATCCCCTGGGACTAAGCACAAAGGAGTTTTGGACTTAAAAAAGAAAATGAAGATCCAGGTACCTTATTTTGTCTAGGTTACAATTTATGGCAAGATTCTGTGCCTTGTTTATCTTAGAACAAATACAAAGAGAATTAATAGCTAAAGTCAGACTTCCACTAGAATCTGGTTGGCTAATAAATAAGTTGAGTTTTTTAAAAAAGATTTTTGGTAGAGGCAGTCTTGCTGTGTTGCCCAAGCCAGTCTAAAATTCCTGGTTTGAAGCAGTCTTTCCACTTCAGATTTCCAAAGCACTGGAATTACAGGTGTGAGCCACCACGCCAGCCTAAATAAGTTTAAAGGAAGATTTTTCTTTCAATTAATGAAGCTAAATATATTTGCTTTTCAAAGTTTTGACAAAAAGATTTTTAAAGCACATGTAGTAGTCTAGAAAATACAACCTTTACAACTATCTGAATTTATGGTTGTTTTTTTTTAAATTACATTTCAAGCCAGGCGCAGTGGCTCACTGCTGAAATCCCAGCACTTTGGCAGGGAGGTGAGGGGATTGCCTGAGTCCAGGGACTGGAGACCTCGTCTCTACAATAAATAAAAAAATTAGCCTGGTGTGGTGGTACACACCTGTGGTTCCAGCTACTTGGAAGGATTGCCTGAGCCCAGCAGGTTGAGGCTGCGGTTGGCCTTGAACATGCCACTGCACTCCAGCCTGGGTGTCAGAGCGAGATGCTGACTCAAAAAAAATTACATTTCAAATGGGAAGTGCATGAGCAAAAACATTTTGAAACCACTGTTCTGGATGGACCACAGGAGGTGAGTGCTTTTGTAGTCTGGCAAGGTTTCATTGATTTCACATACCTATGATCCGTTCCCAGCCTACAGAAAGAGGGGATGTTGTCTCAAATGCCTGTGGGTTTTTATTCATATGTTAATGGTTTATATTAAGTTGTGGAGGAGGTAGAGTTTACTTGGTGGTGGGATAAGAAACAGATATGTGAATGGTAGATGAACTTTTTCTTAAAGGTCCAGATGGTGTAAGTACTCTGGCTTATGGGCCATAGAATTGATGTCAGCTCCTGTCACAGCTGTTCAAACCAGCCACTGTAGCACAGAAGCAGCCATTGAAAGTATGTAAACAAATAGACCTGGCTGTGTTCCAGTAAAACTTTATTTACAAAAAAACAGTTGTTGCCAACCCTTGTCTTAGAGAATCCAATTCTCTTCTAATTGACAGTTGATCAAACATTAGATGACTGGAAACCCCTGCTCTTCAAATGATTTAATTTCTTTTTAGCCACCTAAATTCAGTAGTTACCAGGATTTTTAGCTTTTGTTACCAAAAACCCTGCTAACCGTGACAAGGATGTGGTGGAATTACAAGGAGCTGCTGCGTGTGCTCCTTGCAAGAGTAGAAAAAAGTAGGGCACCTGGAGCCCATGGATAGCATGCTAGCGGGGGCTGGTGAGTAGTCAGCAAACCTGAGCACATCTGAGTGGAAGTGCGTGGTGTTCGGGTCGCAGTCACTGCCCTGTCCTTCCCTGCCGTGGAGTCGGTGGCCTGTCTGGCTCGTGGTGCTCTAGGTAGGCAGGCTGCGGTTCCCAGCACACTTCCGTGTGTGTCTCGTGCTTCTGGCAGCCCCCATCAGGTGCTCCTTCAGTCACAGGTCAGGAGCGGTTACATGAGGCTGTGGCCTACCTGAGACTAGGTGGCTTTAGCCTTCACACCTAGATTCTCTAATGCCTGCCCTTCTTTTGACGATGTTCCGTGTTCCTTCCTGGACAGGTGACTAAGAGATCAGCTTTCTACCCATTTCAGGATTCTGGCTGTACGCAGAACCACGAGGAAGTCGTAGGGTCACTTCCTGGGTTACTCTCTTGGGGATCACTGTACTGAATTGTCTAGTGTCGTATTTGGAGAAGAAAACAAGAGCCTGAAACCTAGAGCTGTGCTTATGGGCCTCGCCTGGTGAACATGGTGGGTGTTTGTCAGCAGTATACATGCACGGTGGCAGATGTCTCCCTGGGCCCCCTGCTGTCAGCATCTCTGCCTGGATGATGAACTGTGTTGGGTGTAGGTCTGGCTACCCTCCCCCAAGGAGCGGGGACCCCCCTTCTCTCTCATTTTCTTTTTCCCACCCACCTCTAGAGGCATTCATAGGGCTGCTAACCCTAGCCCTGGGGGTTGGACGAGAAAGCTTGCCATTAAATTCTCCTGATGAGACTGTGAATGGGAAAATACATATGAATATTTTACCTTTCCAAGTGGGCTCTGTGAACTACTCTATTTGCCTGTGGATTAATTAGATCTCTGTGGGTTGACCTGGAGACCTAATTACCTTATCTAATATTGTTTTTGTTGGAATAATTGTGCCACATTCAGAATACAGTCCATCTGTAAATGGGGAGATTCCCAAGGCCACAGAGGGCACGTTCCATGTGGGTGGCACCCCTGAACGTCCCTGTGTAGCACGTGGGGCTGTGAAGACTGGTGTCCCAGCATGATGTGTGTGGCAAGTCTTTGTGTACCAGATTTGCCCATGGGCCACCCTTTGGAACATCTTTTCTAGGAGATGTAGTCAGATTTCCAAATTTATTTTGATAACAAGGTTAAATATGATTTTGATGTGTTCTCTGGCAGGCTCTTTGGACATGGTGCTTTGCTGTTCTCTGGTCCCATGACAAATTTTGTCTGACTGTTTCCTCACCAGTTTGTGTTGCTCACTGGGGTGACCCTGGTCTGGAGTTCCACCTTCCACCTGGAGCACACCGGAGCCCCTCCCGTTTGGGGTGCCTGGGCACAATGCGTGGAGGGCCGTGCGCACCAACTTCTGCAGGCTTGTGGAGGCTGGGGTGTGAGGCCCCGGTGGTGTTCCAGCAGGGATGGCCTCTGCTCCTCGTGGCCTCATGGATTGGAGGCGCAGGGGCTGTATCACCCTGGGGAAGCAGGCAGGCTCTGCCTGCACGAAGGGCTGAGTGAGGGCACCACCTGCCGGTGGCGCCGCCTGGGGAAGACATGAGCCTCACAGAGTCCCCAGGACAGCATGCCTGGAAGATGGTACAGGGTAGTGAGCAGAGCCAGGGAGCCCCGGCAGGTCCGGCCTGGCTGGCTGAGGTCAAAGTCCCCATTCACCAGTGTGTATGAGGAGGCAGGAGCTTGGTGAGTGACCTTCGCAGCCTGTGTGACCTTCCTGTTACCCACCCGTTACGGGTCGGTGGTGCCTCCTCTCAGGCACCTGCAGGTAAGGTGTGGGGTTCTCTAGCTGAGCCCATCATGCTCACTGCCCATTGGTGGCCCTTCCTTGCTCGCTTTCAGGCCCTGGTTCAGCCTGCTTCACACCCCTCACCTGCGTAGCGTAAGCATTGTTATGTCGTTCCAGCTAGCCTGGTACTCAGACCAGCAGTGCCTCTGGGCTCCTTTGTTCACCGATGGGATTTGGCTGGGGTCCTGTTCACTTTTTTTGAGTCAGAGTCTCACTCTGTCGCCTGGGCTGGAGCACAGTGGAACAGTCATGGCCACCGCAGCCTCCATCTTCTGGGCTCAGGCAATCCTTCTGCCTCAGCTTTCCAATAGCTGAAACCACAGGCACACACCACCACGCCCGGCCCATTCATTCTTGATGAAGCAGCGAAGAATAGACACAGCTCACAAAGTCATAGCCCAAGTCCCCTAACAGCCCGCCACTGCATGGCTGCTCCCATGGCTTACGGGAAGTCCCTCCAGGGGGTAGGCGGTGTTCTAGGGCTGCGGTTTGAGTGGGCAACGCCATCCCCGAGCCTTTCAGTGGGGGTTGGGAGTGGGGCTTTTGGGGAAGAGTGGCTTGCCCAGCTTGGAGAGGAAAAGCTCCCAGGCCCGCGTGGTCTAGCAGCAGCGCATCGCCATCCTTTCTTATGGCCACTCAGGTTGTGGCTCGAGCTTTCTGGAGTTGTTGGAGGCGTTGGGCTGTCAGCTGTTACGATTGGTCAGCTTGAGTCTGCAGCCGACAGGAAGGGCAGGGAAGCGCATGTGTGCTGGGATGGGGCCATCCCTGAAGGAGCCACTGCCTCGTGAAACCCAGCTTCAGGGGCGGTCTTGGTGTCTCTCGCTCAGCGGCAGAAGCAGGGCCCGAGCCTAGGCCTCCTGGGAGTCTGCTGCCTGTGTTCCCTGTGGCCTGGCCTCTGGTCTCCCTCCTTTCTCTTGGCTCTGCTTTCTGCTTTGGGAGAGTGGTGAGTGACTGGGGGAAAGAAAAGGAAACCGTGAAATCACTATGCCTGTGGCATGTCCATGTCGTGGCATGCCTGTACAGCCTTCACCTAGGAGAGCGACTCCTCTGTGGCAGAGGGTATGCTACGACACACAGGTGTGTCCTCCTGCCCTTTCCTGAGCCTTCTTCAGACATTTCTGCAGGAACCAGCCATTCCATAGGGTCAGGTGCCCCAGTCAAGGCTTTGCTTCCCAGGAGAGGGGACAGGTGAATTTAAGTATGGAAAAAAATGATTATGGAAAAAACTTGGGAAGACAGCACTGACCTCAGAGACCACGTCTCCACATGTGGATACGTAGCAGATATGCTGTCACTCAGACTTGGTTTTCCTGGTTTGTTTCATTGCCTCAAAGTTCAGTATGTTCTCAGATCCATGGAGCTGAGGCTGCTCGCCCATTGGAAGAGTGTCCCCGGAGGACACCGACCCTCTTACTCATGAAGTCCACTGTCTCTCTCTCAGACAGAATGGTTGGGCTTTCACACTGCAGGGCCACTCTGGGAGCACAGAATGTCTTGCACGCTGCTCTCTCTCCTTGGAGTAGTTTGAGAAACGTCAGGCTTTACGGAACCCTGTCCATCCTCTGGATCAGTTAGTGATCCTGTGGTGTGATGACTGAGAGCGCAGGCTTCAGGGTGTAGACCCCTGAGGTGGAATGTTGGCCAGTACTTACTAAATTGTGCAGCTGTGCCACAGCTGGCCCATCTGCGCCTGTTTCCTGTCTTTAAAATATGCATGATGGTAGACACACATAGTGCCTGCCTCACAGGCTGGGTCGTGTTGACTTACTCCTCCTCCCTTCCCTGCCTCCTTCCCCCACCCAGTTCACATCAAGCACACCCTCCACCCTTTCTGGGGGGACCAAAACTCCATAAACATTTAGAAAATTAAAAAAAATAGATTTGTAATAGTTTTAGAAGGAAGACACGCCTCCAGTGACTGGAATTTGCGATGATTTTTTGTTTCTTTTCGAGTCAGGGTATCACTCTGTTACCCAGCTGGTAGGGTAATGCCATGATCATGGCTCAATGCAGCCTTAAGCTCCTGGGCTTAGACAATCCTTCCGCCTCAGCCCCCTGAGTAGCTGGGACTATAGGTGTGCACCACCATACCCAGCTAATTTTTTTATTTTTGTAGAGATGAGGTCTTGCTATGTTACATAGGCTGATCTCAAACTCTCGGACTCAACCGCAGTGATTTTTGAAAGATGGAAAGCAGACAAGATAACTGGAGAAATAGAAAGTAGCCCAAAGCTCATGCAGGAGTGAGCTTCTGTGCATTTTGGGAGCTGTTGTGAGGGGGTTCTTGGAGAGTTAAAGGGCACCGAGAGGAGGGAGAGGGGCTGGACATTCACCTGGGTGCCACATATGGACTCACTTTGGAAGGAGTAGGCTGGGTGTCCCTTCCAGTACTGTGGCCCCCATTGCCTCTTCCACCCAGTGGTGGTGCTGCATTATGCGTGAAGCAGTGGGCGCAAGGATGTGTGGCTGGAACTTTTGAGTGTCCCCCAGATGGTTACGGGACACCCAGGCAGAACTGGGAGCTGGAAAAAAATGTGTTGGCCTTTATTTAAAAGAACCCTGGAAAGCTTTGCAGAAGCCTGAAGGAAAGATTCACACCTGTGTCCACGGTGGTGAGATGTCAAAATAATGAAAACATCAAAAGGAAAATATAAAAGTTAAAAATTGTCACTAGAGATCCTAGCCAGATTAAATAGGGCAGTAAGTAAAAACAAAAGACATACAGATTGCAAAGCAAAACCGTCAATGTTTCTGTGTGGTGTACTTATGAAATAGCAGATCCTGTTGAATCAGCAACACCCAGGCAGCTGTGACTGAGGAGTTCAGCAAGATCATAGGATACAAGGTTATTATATGAAAACGTATTGTATTTCTGTATTCCAACAATGGACAACTGGAGTTTGAAATTTTAAAAATATACTATCTCAGGAAAGAGTTTAAATTAAAAATATAAACTTGGTCATCATTGGCAAACTGGATGAGACTTGCCAGAGGATGACAGCAGGATGATGAGAGAACCAAGGACCAAACATTGCCTAACCCTAATGTTTGAAAAGCAGGCAACGTTCTCACTTATAAGTGGAAGCTAAACACTGGGTACACACAGGCATAAGGCTGGGAACAACAGACACTGGGAGTTCCTAAAAGGGGAAGGAGGAGGGAGGTTGAAAACTACCTATGAGGTATTGTGCTCATCATTTGAGTGATGAACTCACTAGAAGCCCAAACCTTACCGTCCCGTAATGTATCCATGTAACAAACCTGCACATATGCCCCCTTGAATCTAAAACAAGATTTAAATTTTTAAAATTATAAAAATGTTTTAAAAAAGAAAACAACCCAATACTACTGAGAGAAAACCTGTGTCGATGGAGACACACGCCATGTTCATGGATTAAAAGACTCACTGTTAGCTGGGCTCAGTGGCTCAGCCTGTAATCCCAGCACTTTGGGAGGCTGAGGTGAGTGGATTGCCTGAGCCTGCGGGTTCGAGACCTGCCTGGTCAACTTGGTGAGACCTCAGCTCTACGATAAATCAAAAATTAGCCGGGTGTGGTAGCGCCCACCTGTAGTTCCAGCTATTTGGAAGGCTGAGGCGGAAGTTTCGCCAGAGCCCAGCAGGTCTAGCTGCAGTGACCAGGAGCAGCCACTGCACTACGGTCTGGGTGACGGAGTGAGTCTCCAACTCAAAAAAAAAAGAAGACTCACTGTTGCTGGTGGAACAAGTGGCAGTTCTCCCGAAGTGATTTGAGAGTGGGTGCAATAACACAGGTTTTCTTTGTGTTTTTTTTTGTCTTTGTTTTTGCAAAAGATTAAAAGACAAAAACTAGACTACCTACAAGTAAATAAGAATGAGTCCCTCTTATACACAGCACTGCATGTTAGGCTACATGGAAGAATAGCTTTAAAGGTCTGAGAGGAAGATGGTTTTGAATCTGGAAATTCTTTTTCTAAAGAAGTTACTCGGCCAAGCATGATGGTTGTAATCTCAACAGGCGAGAGGATTGCTTGAGCTCAGGAGCTTGAACCTGGGCAGTGTACTAAGACCTTGTCTTGACAGAAAATTAAAAAATTAGCCGGGCATGGTGGAGCACGCCCAGCCACTCGGGAGTCTGAAGCCGAAGGATCACCTGAGCCCAGGAGAGTTGAAGCTGCGGTGAGCTGTGGTCATGCCACTGCACTGCAGTCTGGGTGACAGAGTGAGACCCCAACTCAAAACAAAACAAAAAAAGAAACAATGTAAGAAGTTATAGTTAAGCGGCTGGTCTTGGTGGCTCAGCCTGTAATCCCAGCACTTTGGGAGGCCGAGGCGGGTGCATTGCCTGAGCCCACGGGTTCGAGACCAGCCTGGGCAACTTGGTGAGACCTCGTCTCTACAATATATCAAAAAGAAAATTGTAGTTAAGTTCAAAAGACTGTTGCTTTGTCACAGTGGACATTACCTAGTCAGCTAGACAGTCTCAATAGCCTGCAGGTGGGATATGACTTGGCAGAGGAGGAGGGATAGTGGTCTTTGCCCTGCAGAGGGAGGGGGTGGTGTTACTCACACAGCATCTGAGAGCACAGAGACCCTCTAGAGTTTTGTGGAATGAGTGTGTCCTGGTTCGCTCTACAATGATGGGAAGAAGTAAGCTTACTAAATAAAGAAGAGGAACAGACTGTTATCATGCTCAGTGGAACACATGGGATGAAGACTTCACCCATCCAGCAAGGGAGTTTTGGGGATTTTTTCCTTGACACTTGAAAGTAAAAAACAAAAGTGAGCCAGGCTCGGTGGCTCAGCCTGTAATCCCGTGCCTTGGGAGGCTGAGGTGAGTGGATTGCCTGAGCCCATGGGTTCGAGACCCGCCTGGGGAACTTGGCGAGACCTCATCTCTACAATAAATCAAAAATTAGCCGGGTGTGGTAGTGCACGCCTGTAGTTCCGGCTACTTGGAAGGCTGAGGCGGAAGGATTGCCGGAGCCCAGCAGGTTGAGGCTGTGGTGGCCGGGAGCGGCCACTGCACTCCAGTCTGGGTGACAGAGTGAGACTCCAACTCAAAAACAAACAAAAAAAGTGACCTGCTTGTGCCTGAGAATGGCCTTCCATGTGATAGCACCTGGAACCCTATTTTGTCAGCTGCGGGCACGCCGGAGGGTGGGGTGTGGGTCTTGGCCCAGAGGCCATGTGGCTGGCAGTGGCGAGTGCCTCGCCTTGGGCCCGGTGGGCAGCTAACCAGCAGTGTTCTGTGTTTCCTGCAGATGTGCCCACAAGCCTGCACTACCAGAGCATGCTGAAATCTCAGTGGCAGAACAAGCCTTTCGACAAAATCAAACCTCCCAAAAAGCTGACCCTCAAGCACAGAGCACCCCTGCCAGGCAGCCTGCCAGACCCATCTCGTAAGGACAGGCACAAGCTGGTCAGCTCCTTCCTGACCACAGCCAGTGAGTTCAGGGACCAGTGGGTCCCGGGTCTCCTCTCTTCTCTTATTTCCGAGTTACTGACTTGCTTTGCAGCACGTTGGGGTTGGAGTGGCAGGGCACCCGTGACCACGTCCGCTCGTCTGAGGTGCTCTCAGAGGGACTTGGGGAGCCCCTTCAGGCACAGGGGCCTCGGGCACAGCCAGCAGGGGCACCGCATTTGGTATGCCTGCGGACAGACCGGCTTCCATGACTCAGGGTCACAAGTCTCTGTTCTGGACTCCCCGGGCTTGTCCTGGCCACGCTGCTGCTGGGGGGAGCTTCAGTCCTGAAGGACCATGCTGCTGCCTGGGTGCACAGCCCTGGCCTCAGCAGAATTCGGGAGCTTGGAGCCCAGGTGAGAATGGACTGCGAGAAGGTCTCTCACCTCTCTTCTTCTGTTGCCTCTTCAGAGCTCTCCCACCACCAAGCCCGGCCTGACAGGACCCACAGGCACTTCGACGATGTGGGGGCCATGCCCACGGTGGAGCGAGTGACAGCGCCCAAGGCAGAGCGCTTACTCAACCCACCACCACCTGCACATGACCCCAGCCATGGCAAGATGAGACTGCGAGACCACTCATCCGAGAGGAGTGAAGGTAGGACCAGGCCAGCACCTGCCTGCAGTTGTGTCACGTGGGGCTTTCTGGGCAGCCAGGGTACTCCTGCCTGCTCTTGCTGGCACTGCTTGCCCCCAGCAGCCCCTACCCAGCCCCACCCAGCTACCAGCGGGCTCCACCTTTTGAACCTCTAAGCCTTGAAACGTGCATTGCCACTATTCCCGGCTTGGTAGAGGAAGCAGCATGGCTGAGCTCCATGGTCTTGTCTTCCCTGTTGACTCTGCAGTGTTGAAGCCACACGCAGACATGAGCAGCTCAGGCTACTTGGCGGCTGCCCACCACCCTCCACACAGCCCCCTGGTGCGCCAGCTCTCCACCTCGTCAGACTCTGCCATGGCCGCCAGCTCAAGCTCACAGGCTGCAACCAGCACATCCGTAAGTCCCAGGTGGTGCTGACCAGACATCCCCTCTGCAGGTCACACTCCCTCGGGCTCTGGAGGAGGTCCTTGGAGAGGGCGGTTATGGGGCCCAGCGTGCTGATGGGCCCTCGACTCATCACGGTGCGAGGCGGGGGTTGATTTCACATCAAAGCAGGGATGCTCACGGGTTGCTTCCAGTACAGACAGGTTCCTGCTGAGCCACTGGGAGGCTTGCTGCTGGACAGGCATCAGGGGCCAGGACTCCTTCAGACGTGTGGACCTGGGTGTACGTGGGACTCGGTGGTGCCATGGCCTATACTCTGTGGGTCCGGGTGGGGGACAGATCCTGGGGTGGGAACCGTGTGTGACCCTTGTCCTCCTCTCCTGGCGAGTGGCAGAGGAGAATTAAGAACAAACGCTGGTTTTGGGGTGCACAAAGGGAAGAGGGAAGACAGAGCCCGAGGTGTTCAGGGGTACGGAGGACTGCAGACTCCATGGGCCGGCGGCAGCACCTACAGAGGGTGCCCTCCCAGTAACCGGCTGTGGGCACGCACGCTCTCTCACTCACACTCTCACAGTGTCTCACACTCAGCATTTACACTCGTACGCACACTCATATGCTCAGACACTTTCACTCTCACAGACACACCCACACTCTCACTCACCCACTCTCACGTTCCCAAACCCACTCATACCCTCACTTGTATCCACTCGCTCTCACACATCCACACACGTCACACGTACACTCTCTCACACCACACTCCACCCAGAAGCCATCTTTTTTTTTATTTTTTGAGTCGAAGTCTCACTCCGTCCCCCAGACTGGAGTGCAGTGGCCGCTCCCGGCCTCCGCAGCCTCGACCTGCTGGGCTCCAGGGATCCTTCCGCCTCAGCCTTCCGAGTAACTGGATCTACAGGCGCGCGCTCCCACGCCCAGCTAATATTTCGGTGTCTAGTAGAGACAAGGTCTCAACATGTTGCCTACACTGGTCTTGTCAATTTCATTCCAGGGTTTTCATGCCATCTTCAGTGTTTGTTCCTGTAGCTGCTTTGTTCCTTTTAGAGGGTCCTTTGTATAATAAAGGCTGTAATGATGGAACCCTGCCGCTAGGACGTTCATTGGAAGCTTACTGTGTGCCAGGACTGGAGGGGGGCATGGGTTCCCTGTTGTTACAGTGCCCTTTGCGGTGGGTGGTGCTGTGGAGTCCCCTTCTGTAGGTGTGAACACGGAGGCTTTCCATGCTGATGAAATTGCCCAAGACAGGCAGCCTGGGAGGGTCCGTTGTGATTCAAACCCAGCCATGGACTTGCAGAGCCAGCGCTCTTGCCATTGCACCGTGCAGCCTGGGAAGGGCACGACGGGGCATCTGAAGGTCCTCAGAGCTCTGGCCAAGAGACCTCTAAGCTCACAAGTCATGTTCACTGGGGCAGTGCTTCTCAGATAGGAGCTCATGCTGCTCCCTTTCCGCTCTTGCCAGTCAGGCTTTTCCATGTGGCTGCTTTGCTCCTCCCCCACTCTTGCCTCCCACCCACAGCTCAGTCCCTCCTGAGCCGCAGCTGCCATTGCCACCAGCGAAAGGTTTCAGGTGACCTGAGTATGTCAGAGGGAGGCCGATTCTGATAGGAAACCCGAGCTCTGTGAGCCAGAACTCAGAGAGGAGGCTTCATTGTCTTCCCACCTGCCCTCGTGTCTGCAGAACGTTAGATGTGCATCGCTTGAAGGCTTTACTTTTATTTATCAAGTACAAATTATATGTGTAGCTCTGTGCTGACCCATAAAGCTCAAAGACTGCGTTTACTTAAAAGTGAGATGGTAGGTCAGTGCCATGGTCCAAGGGTCCGTGGAGGGCCGGCTCCGGGACTGCTGTGGGTCTTACAGTCTGCAGGCGCACAGGTCCCCAAGATACACCGTGTGGGGCTTGCATGTCCTTGCATGTGTCTGCCGTAGATGTCAGGTGGTCTCCAGGTTCCTCACAGTGCTTTATACAATGCAGATGCTGTGCAAACAGCCGCTGTGCTAGAATGTCAGGGAATAATGGCAAGATAGATCCTTGTACATATTCAGGGCAGACAGTTTTTTTCCCACACATTTTCAGTCCACAGTTGACATAACCCAGGCGTGGAGGGCCCGCTGTGCTTGAAATCAAGACACAGAGCAGCTGGCAGGGTGTTCTGAATCACCTCAGCAGCTTTCAAGAAAAACCTCTGAAATTCTAGTTTGTAGCCATGTGCAGTGACTCACACCTATGGTCCCTCCTGCTCAGGAGGCTAAGGCGGGAGGATAACTGGAACCCAGGAGGTCGAGGCTGCAGTGAGCCATGGTCGTACCTCTGTACTCTGGCTTGGGTGATAGAGACCCTACCTCTGGAATTTAAAAAATTCTGATATACTGGAAGACAGGGCTATCCCAGGACCTACAAAGAAATATACTCCTTGCCTTGCTTTTGATGTCCTACCAATTCTGAGAACCACTTTTCACACTCACCATCTACTATCTGGCTCAAGTAGGAGAGAGTAGTTCGTTAGAACAAATGGGCAGCATATGGAATGAGTCTGGGGGCGGAGGGGCCTGAAGTAGTCCTGCGGCCTGCACTCTTGCCACTGAAGATGCTAGTGGCAAGCCCAGGAGGACTCAAGAGCATGCTCTTGCTGTCGTCAGTATTGTACATTTGTTCTCAGCCAGGCTGTAGGGCAGGCTGTCCTTGGACCTTCCATAAGAGGCGTCTGTCATGGGGTGTGAGATTCCACCAGTGACGTGGCAGTGGCCTTTGGTGTGAGGGTCCTGACTCAGCTGCAGACCCATCCCAGCGATTCACGAGTCCGTCAGCCATTCTGCCTAACCCGTGACCCTCATGGGTAAGGTCAATTTGGTAGAGAAAGGGGTCGAAGTGAAAAGGACATTGTGGACACCTGAGTTATAATGACAGCAACTGAAACTGTCTTCCCAAAAGTACTGACTCCTCGCCTTCCCTTGAGTATACAGAGACGGTGGGTGTGCGAGTTCCACTTCGCCCTCCAGCAGCAGGAGCAGAGCGGGTGACTGCGGGGAGCGACCTCTTCCTGGCTTCCTACCGTGACCCCTGCCCTGTGGGCTGGCCACACCTGGGGGCCTGGGTGTGAGTCCTCAGTTGTTGGTTGCCATGGCAGCATGTTTGTCATCCCACTGTTGGCTCTGACCTCTGGCAGCTCAGGGGCCAGTCTGGTCAGGACAGGGCATCTGCCCTCCGGGCAAAAGCACGCAGACCCTCTTGTGGCTGAGAGGCCAGGCCATTCACCTCCCTGCCTCGCCCGCCCTCATCCCTATTCGTTGCCGATACCCACCCCTGCTCTGCTGTAGGACCCTGGGAAGTCTTGTTCTTCCAGGAGCGTGGTCTCGTCACCTTCCTGGGGAAGAGATTTCCTTTCTCAGGAATGTGAGGTAGAGCTAGGTCCTCTCCAGGTTGCCTCTGTCCCTTCCCTGGCACAGCTGGAAGCCCTTGGCTCTTTCCCAGCTCTAGCAAGAGGGAAGCCCACCTGCCGGCTGAGCAGGTGGGGGTGCAGAGGTAGCCAGAAAGTCCAGATACTGGAGACGGAGGGGCCTTCATGACAGCCAAGGTCAGGCGACCTGTTGGACAGCTTTCAGAATGAGCTTTCAGCATTACTGTGAGGGGCTGTAATGGGGCTAAGTCATAGATGGGGATAAAAGGAGGGAAAGGAGAATTGTAAAAGGTGTGGAGTTAGCAGCAGCGGGATCATGGAGCCGGGGAGCCCCAGCAATGGACTTCAGACCCCAGCACAGTATTTCTGTGAAATTCAGCAGAAGTGTCTTTACACGTGAGCCCATGAAGGAGGGGTTGGCCAGTGGACCACCGAGTGCTCCTTCCAGGACATTGCCAGGGGGCAGCCTCCCAGCCATGAGTGACTCACTGTTCAGCCTCAGCCAGGGGCCCAGCTGCTGGTGACCCTGCTTAGGGTCTCGGTGAGGACACGCCTGCTGTCTAGAAGTCATGCCTCCTTTAGACTAGCCTTTGTCTTACAGCAGCCAGTGAGGAGGAGACGGGGGGAGAGCTCGTTCGACATCAACAACATTGTCATCCCGATGTCTGTGGCCGCCACAACCCGGGTGGAGAAGCTGCAATACAAGGAGATCCTCACTCCCAGGTGGGCCAAGTGCGGCGCTGCATTCTGCAAGCCCCCTCGTCTTCCAGGCCAGCCTGGGTCTGTCTCCCATTAGAAGGTCTTGCCTGAAGGGTGGTGCTTTCTCTTGTGCTCTGTGGTCCTAGCACACCAGCCAAGCCAGAGGTCACCCAGCTAGGACTAGTCTGTAGCCCCCTTTGTCATCGCATGGCAGGGTGTTGAGAAGCCGTGTACCTGGCTGGTCTTGGAGGCCGTGCTCTCTCTGCCGATGGCTCACAGCTGATTACGGTTCTTGGCACTGCACTTGACTAGTCTTTTTTTTTTTTTTTTTTTTTTTTTGAGTTGGAGTTTCACTCTGTCACCCAGGCTGGAGTGCAGTGACATGCTCACAGTCACCACAACCTCGACCTGCTGGGCTCAGGTGATCCTTTCACCTCAGCCTTACAAATAAGCCAGAACTACAGGCACGTGCTACCACACCCAACTAATTTTTCAATTTATAGTAGAGAAGAGGTCTCACTATGTTGTCCAGGCTGGTCTCAAACCCGGGGACTCAGGTAGTCCTGTCGCCTCGGCCTCCTAAAGTGCTGACATTACTGGCGTGAGCCACCATGCCTGGCCAACTAGTCTTTAAAAATAGCAAATTTGTTTTCAGCATCGAGGCAGGATTTTTCAGACATGTCTATTCCCAGCTTCTGTTGCCAAACAGGAGACTGGCTAGATGTGACACGCCTCCCCTGCCCCACCCTCCCATGTGGAGGTGGTGCTGGTATCCTGGTCTTCCTACCCCACCCTTCGGGCACTGGCTTAGGGCAGGGTGAAGAGTTGACCTGGGACAGGGCAGAACCTGCCTGGGGAGAGCAGTGGCCCACAGACACCGGGTCTGCCTACATGAACGGCCCCACCGCACCCCTCCCCTCCCCTCCCATCCCCTCCTCTCCCCTCCCCTCCTCTTCCCTTCCCAGCCTGCTGGCCAGCTTGTGAGTGTCCGTCCTTGGTTTTGCAGCTGGCGAGAGGTGGAACTCCAGTCTCTGAAGGGCAGTCCTGACGAGGAGAACGAGGAGGTGAGGCGCCCCTCTCTCCCAGAACACACGCAGCCCCACGTGACCTCAAGCCCTGTGGCGTTGGTGCAGCCACTTTTGTTTGGTCTTGATCTGGGGAGGCTGGGGCTGGGTCAGGTGGCCTCAGCTTCCTGGGGAGGAGGGTCACAAGCTGCTCCGTTGCAGATTGAGGACCTGTCGGACGCAGCCTTCGCAGCTCTGCATGCCAAATGTGAGGAGATGGAGCGGGCCCGGTGGCTGTGGACCACGAGTGTGCCACCCCAGCGGCGGGGCAGCAGGTGACGGGTCCCCCAGGCCTAGAGAGGGAGGGCAGATGGGCCCGTCTGTGTTCACAGGATTGCCGCCACCTCCCAGGGGCCCCTTGTCCTCATCTCCCGGCAGTGGCAGAGTGTGGACGTTGCCTGGCGCTTGTGGGCACATGAGGGGCGTGGCGGGGGGTGAGTGCTAGACCGCTGCCGAGCAGCCACCGTCTCGTTCTGATGAGTCTGCCCCCTCCTGTCATGTGGGAGCCCGCTGCGGTCGTGATCGAGCCAGGGCCGCTTGGAAGGCCTCTCGGCTGCTCACCCTCCGGCGGGTGGGGCTGTGGCGCAAGGACCTTCCCGCCCGCACAGCACCACCTGCCTGCGGCATTTGCAGTGGGGGCTCGGGATTCTCCACTGGAGGGGTCTTGGCTCTCAGGTTGGCCTTTTCTCTTTGACCTCAGTTCCCAAAAGTCTAGACGCAGGTCCTTGGCCTGTTAACTCACTAGGCCTGTGCCAGGGACGTGCCCGGCCTTCTCTTGGGTGGCAGCTGTCACGTATGCCCTGCCTCGGCAGGAGTGGGGGGAGTGGGATTTGCAGGCATCTGTCTGCCTTGACTCTCAACCTGCACACTCAGATCTGCCCCCATCGTGTGCAGGTCTTACAGGTCGTCCGACGGCCGGACGACCCCCCAGCTGGGCAGTGCCAACCCCTCCACGCCCCAGCCCGCCTCGCCCGATGTCAGCAGCAGCCACTCGTTGTCGGAACTCTCCCACAGCCAGTCCCCCAGGAGCCCCATCAGCCCAGAGCTGCACTCGGCACCCCTGACCCCCGTGGCGCGGGACGCCTCGCGGCACCTGGCCAGTGAAGACACCCGTTGTTCCACACCCGAGCTGGGGGCGGACGAGCAGGTGAGGCGTGGGGCGGTCTGCAGGGACAGCGCCTCCCAGGCTCGGGGCGCCACTTGGGGGCACTGTGGGCCCGCCGGGGCAGGCCAGCCGGTCCTCACCTGTGTGCCCTCTCTGCCCACAGTCCGTCCAGCCGTGGGAGCGGCGGACCTTCCCACTGGCCTGCAGTCCGCAGGAGGAGTGTGAGGACCAGCTGGATGCCCAGGAGCGAGCAGCCCGCTGCACCCGGCGTACATCAGGGGGCAAGACTGGCCGGGACGCGGAGGCGCCTCCCACCTCGCCGCCCCCCGCTCCCCCCAAGAGCCGGCACCTGGCGGGCACGGCCCCAACACCACGCCCGGCTCACAGATGAGTGGCCGTGGCCGGACTTGGCATTGGCATTAAAGCTCTCAAAGTCTCTGCGTTTGATATTCAAACATCCTAAGCCAGAAATGTTCACAGTTTTTAGTGAATATAAGGAATCTAGGTCCTACTGGGGTATTTTTTCTCGTTTCGGTTTTGTTCTGTTTCCATGTTTCCTTGTCCCCCGAGCACTTCCTCCATTGCAGGCAGCAGCTCAGGCTGAGCTGCTGGCCGGGGCCCCACGTCCGCATGGTTGAATCACTGGACTCCCAGGGCAGGCGGCGCCCTCCTTCCCTGGGCGGTGGGCAGAGGCGCGGAGGGTGCCGGGAGCCAGTCTCCGCCGGTGAGGAGCGGGGCCCTCCCTTCCCCGCTGCTTGGGGCTGGGCTGGGCGCTGGCCTCAGGGCTGGAGCCTCTGCTGCTCTCCCCCCTGCACTGGGCAGAGCAGCTGCGCGCAACCCGGGCCCTGGAGACCTGTCTGGGTTTCGTCTGCATTCTGTCATCTCTGTCTGCCTCCCCCATGCAGTAGCCTGGCTGCACCACTCTCTCTCACACACACACCACCCCCCCCCCCCCTTGGCACCCATCTCCCCCTGACCTGGGGAGCGGGAGGACAGCTTCCCTTCTGTCCCTCCCCTGCATACCAGGGCTCTGGGCGGGAGCTGTCATGGCCTCCCATCCTGTCTCACTGCCCCCTCCACATCCCGCCCTCTGTGTTGATGAGACCCCCCCCTTCGCCTTGAAACACAGTCTGGTCCTCGCTGAGGTTCCCATCGTCGGTCACCCCGTTAACCTTGTGCCTGTCTCATGTATAATCACATCACCAAAAAGGGGGAGGGGGGAAAGGACTTTTTTTTGGCCATTTTGTAATCGTATAAAAATAGTAGACAACTGCTTACTGGTTGGGGTTTTTTCACAATTTTCAACATTAGTGAGTTTTTTTTTGGTTCTGTTTGCAAGTTAAAGGGTTTGTCATTGTTTCTTTAAAAAACAATAATGCACCATATCCCTATGCATAAAAGTGCTTCTTCTATTTATAAGGTTGAAAATTCTGAATAACCCTTTTAGCATTGTAAAAAAACAAAAAAAAATTGAAAAAAAACCTTGTATTTTGTAAATATTTTCTTTTCCTGCTTTGAGCTGTGTAATGGCAGCGACCACGTAGCTGTCCTTGTTCCATAGAAACGCTTTTCTTCAGAGAAGCTGATCTTTGTTAATGTCTTGATTCTGTTCGCAAAGCACAGACTAGTGCTTAAAAAAAAAGGAAGGAAAAATTGAAAAAAATAAAAAAAAAAAAAGAGTTACAGAATGCCGTGTACAGGCCTCTTTGACTTTTGGGGCTGGGTGTGCACGACAGCGGCTTTGCAGCTGGCTCTGGGACTGTTCAGGGTCGCCTGATGCCAGTTAGGGCCAGGGCGGCTTCGTGGTGGGGGGTGGGGACGGGCCCGCATCCGCAGCTGCTCTTCCCTTGGCTGTGACATCACTCTTACCATGTGGCGCCGCGTCTCAGTTGCTCCCAAGGAGACTGCTTGCCACCAGAGTGCTCTGGCCAGGGGCCACAAGAACGCGGCCCACAGCCTGGAGGGGTCTCGCCTGCCTCTTGCAAGAACAGCACGTGGCCCTCCCCTCGGCCCCACTCGGCAGCCGCCGCCACGCATCTCCCCTGCGTGGAAGGAGAGCCACCCCCTCCAGGCAGCATATCACACAGGCCTGGCGCTGCTTCCCGAGCTGCGACACGGCCAGTGATGGCGAGGAGCAGTGGAGACGGTGGCATTTGGAGCCCCTGGGGGCCACGCTAAGGATTCTGCGTCCCGACTCAGCAGTCACGTGCACAGGCCGCTGTCGGGACCTTCCCTTGCGGCCTTGTGAGGGGGCGGCTGCCTGGCCCCTCATGGTCCTCATCCCAAAGGCGGTGCGCCCAGCTGGGGGGCGTGGCGTTCTGCCCAGCCTTGCCTCCACAGAAGGTGGCACATGCTTATCCATCCTCACGCCCGAGATCCCTCTCTCCACCCTTGGGACCCCAGAGGGAGCTGTCCACCCTGCCTGCGTTCCCTGCGCTGGGAAAGACCGTGCAAGCGTCCCGTGTCCGCTCGTCCTTGGGAGTCCATGAACAGGGACCACATTTAATCAGAGTAATAACTTTTATTTCCAAATTCACTTTTACAGCAACAGTCAGTGTAAATCATCTGTTAAAACGCACAATACACTACAGGGACAGTCACAGACAGGAAGCTAAGCTAGGATGATTCCACGTCCCTCCCCCCACCCTCAAAACCACCAAAGGAGCCACGGGGCTTGACAGTGCTGGAAACCCACCTCCCCGACTCTGCAGACTCAGCGCCGAGTCCTCTGGGAGGTGAAGTCAGGCCAGGCCAGGGTGACCCTGATCAATGCTGGAGAGAAGCCGGAAGTCATGAAACCGTGGCCCGTCGATGGGACGGCCTGGGAGCCACCTCTGCCCTTGTCCCCCACCTCTGGGCTTGCAGACCAAAGAGGCGGAGGGGACAGAAGCAACGTCAGCAGCTGCTGTGCACCCAGGCTGCATGTTGAGCCAGCAGCTCCGGGAAGGTTGGCTGGGGCCTGGACCACCACAGCAGACCCCTGGCGCCTCCACCCGCTGGGAAAGCAACGCCCCAGGACCTCTGGCCGCTCGGCCCCTAAGCACATGACTGAGACCAAAGGAAAGGGCTGCAGGCGAGATGTGCCGCACCTGGACCCTCCCATCCGCGCTCACTGTCTTACGACTTCCCTCCCCCAGCACGCCAGCTGCCCAGACAGTCCCACCACAGAGGCGGCTGACTCGGACCTCCAGATGAGGCGAGCCCAGGGCCAGAGGAGCCAGGGTCCTAGGATGCTGGCTCCGTTGGAGCCCGGTCGGGGCGGGGACTGGCCTCTGCTGACCTCCAGCTCTGACGGCACCCTCGCCATGCGGCAGTGCACCCACCCCATAACAGGCCTGGGCGCTGAGCAGAAACAAATGCAGGACGAGGAAGCGGGGGCCCCATGCTGGAGCGTTCTGGGCCCAAACCGGAAGCGGCAGGCCTGGGCTGAGGCCTCTTCTGATGGTTCACCCCAGGTCAGGCAGCGCTCCTGACTGAGGGTGGCTGGGACCCGCTGGCCCCGCCGCCTCATGCCACAGGCATCGCAAGGCCCTGGGGACCAGGTGGCACACGACACCAGGCCCTGCCCCAACACGGAGCCCCGGGAGGCGGGGACGCCCAGCGCCCAGCCAGTCCTTGGGTGCAGGACCCGGCGTCGCCAATGGACACCCGTGGGGACCTGGTGGCCTGGCCCCTCGGAGCCATGACAAGTATTTCCAGATGCATGCAGCCTGTTCCTCTTTTCACTATCACAGTCACTCTGGTGAGTCCAAGCATAAACACAAACCAACGACAACGTGACAGGGGCTGGCGGGGCGGGAGGGCAACACGGAGTGTGGGCAACAGACACGGAGTGCAGAACAGGCCGGGCACTGCTTCCAGAGCGGGAAGGGCGTCTCGGGATGCGGGGGACCCATGCGGGCCGGCGTGGGATGGCAGCGGTGTGTTCTGCCCGGGAGCCTGGCCGCCTGTCCTGTGCCACCAGCCTCCTGCTGGTTCAGCCAGGCTGGGCCTTCTGGGAGGAAGAGCTCTGTCCTCTCCACGAGGGCTGCTGTGGCCACACCTAGCTCCTGTGGGCGATGGGGAAGACGAGAGCTGAGGTGGGCGCCGGCCAGACAAGCGGAACTCGGAGTGGGAGGCCGGCCAGTCTTGGGCCTCTGTTACGGCCAGCGCCTCCCGCGTCTGACCGGCATTGAGGCCCAGGGGGTGGCGAGGCAGGGACTCGGGACAGCATGACATGGCAAGCCCTACGCGTGGTGGTGGTGGAGGGACAGGACGCCCGCGGCCGGGGCTTGGTAACAGGCACGAGTCCTTAGGGGAGAACGGGTTAGCCCTAAGTCCCCGGTGTGCGAGGTGGCTGGCGTGGTGGCCGAGTCCTGCCTTCAGAATGCAGCGCGACAGGCTTCTGTGGTGACAGGGCGCCCCGCATGCTGGACCCCACCCTGCAGGGAGGAGGAAGGGGAGGCCCTGTGCACTCAAGGGCAGCCTTTGCCGGGGCGTCTGCAGGGTGGCTCCCGCCCCGCCCCTCCCCCCCGCCCACCGCTGCCCCAGGAGCGGGCAGCACCCAGTGCAGTCGCAGGCCGCAGGCCAGGCCCAGAGGCACCGCCCCCTCCCCAGCGAGCCTGCTCCCACCCCTGCATCCCCGCCACTCCCTGCCCTGCCTCCACCTCCCTGCGCCCCCACAAGGGGGACACCGTTTGCTTGTGGCTCCCCAACACGCCAAGTTCCAAACCCTCAGCCGCCGCGGCCTCTGCGACACCCCCGGGACGGGGCCAGAGGCGGGTGCCCCGTCCTGCAAGACCCCCAGAAGCAGCTCTCAGACCCCCCTTTCCTACTCAGAAGGGAAAAAAAGAACCAAAGGGAGTTGCCCAAGGAAATGCTGGGGGTGGCCGTGGCTGTGGAAGTTTTTAAAAAATACTTTATTCCCGGCCCACCCATGAATTTGGAAAGGTGAATTTGCCCATGTTCCCACTCGGATCTTGGAGTCCGGAGCCAGAAGCGGGCCGGGGGCCGGGGGCCGAGGGCCGTCCTCGGGAGCGGGCAGGGGCGG